TGTGGTCAGGTCAGGGTCTGTCTTCTTTGAATGCAGTCACAGCCTGCTGTCAGTTAGTGCTGTGACAAAGAAGCAACATTAATAAGTCAAACCAAACAATCCATTGGATTGGCCGACTGAGGGCTATAAAATGTAGAAAATCAGCCGTTGACTCCCATTCTGTCCTGTGCTCAGTGAGGTTTATATCAGGGCTGTAGAGTTAAATAAAACTCATCATTTGTGCAGGGAATCCGAAATAATAATGATATAAAAAACCAACAAATTGTCAAATATTTTACTGCATGTCATGAATTATTACACTTTACATTAAATAATTCCACCATCCATTAGGGGTAGGAGAGGTTTTTCTGATACATTGTGATTGACTCTTAAACAACTATAAGTTGTTTGAGAAAAATCCATAATCAATTGTTTAATAATTAATCATTTTGGAAGTGGTAAAGTGAATGTATATAAAGAAAGTCATAATTTATTTAAGGAAGACCTGGAATTCATAATGGAGATTAGTAATATATTTCCCTCATGTTATAAATCATTGGAGAAATGTTGTCGTTATACCTTTGTTTTTTCTGGACCCTCACTGAGTACAGCACAAGTTTCACTTTTCAGTGCAGGGAATAGACAGAGAGCTCAGGTTCTTACATTTTTCATGTGTTGCTGGCTAACTTTCTCATAGACAACACGTCAGCAAGAACAGCCTATTATTGCCATGTGGATTGGCCTGTTGTTTGTAGGTATGGCTCCAATACCAATACTGCAATTTGGAGTATCTGCTGATATTGGAAATACATATCAATCCAATTCCTTCTTTCTCCTCCAGCATGCCGCGGGCCGCTGTTGCTCAGGCGATAGTGGCCATGTTAAATTAAGTTGAGCTTTTGGGCTTAAATATTGGATCGGATGAGCTATAGTTGTTCTTTTTTTCCGATGTTCGATCCTGAAATTTTGACCAATAGCCAATAGCAGACAGACACCAACCCCAACGATGTGAAATAAGTACTAATGTACTAACTTGTGCTGGACCGAACAAAATATTCAAAGAAAAAAAGATTTGACTTTCTCTCTGTTTTGCCATCAATGTTTGTGATGAGTTTGGTCGTGTGAATTCTCAAGACAGATTTGGGGTCTTCCTCAGTTATCTGTGATCTTTTGCGCAGTAAAACATAAAACATAAAACATATCTACTTAAAGTGAGGTGTGGTGGTAGTAAAACCTACAGCCTCTGATCCAAGTCAGCAAAATCTATCTGACCACTCCTCATTAGTCTAATCACTGTCAACCAAGAAAACATTGCTTGTCTGATTGAGAGAGTGTTGTCACTGAACATTGATGTAATTAAATTATACGACCGGAATGTCAAATACAAAGTGCATAAAAACACAGCCCATCAGAATTCCTAATCAGTGGCTGCTTTGAACTTGTTTC